AACATATAATGCAAATTATTGTGACAATAAATGCTGCAGTTATAACATACCAGGAATTAAAAAAAATCATTTTCAAAATTTTGAATCTTAAATATGCTGTAAACTGCCTTTAAATATATGTTTTAAAATTTAAATCTAGTAGATAATAAGTGCAAAACCTTCATTTCCCATTAGTGATTTAGGTTAAATTGTTTTCTGAAATATCTTTATTATTTTTTTAATAGGATGAGGATGATTGATGCAGCAAATATCCAGGAAGTTATGAAATATTTATGTGGAAGTTGAATTCATGTATGAAAATCTTGCAGAATCATGATTTCCAAGATTTGTTGCAAGAAGATGATTTTTCCAAGTACTGCTGGTGCATATGCATGCTATATCTTCACTGTAATGTATTATGGTATATTTACTTGGCAAATTCAATAATTTCTGAGTCGCTCTAGAATTGCGGTTGCATAAAAACTTCCTCCATTTATCTTCATGTCAAACAGGGTGGAGAAAATTGAAGCAGTTTGATGGTCAAAAGATTGCACACATTAATTTTAACCCTTCCAATAAAAAGACTTCAATATATTCAATGAAGAAAAGAAAGCACTGACATTTTTTACAGACCAATTACTCTCCTTGCAATAATAAATCATTCAACCTGTTTGCCAGCATAAAAGGGATTGCAACATTATTGTTTGTCCCCATCCAAACATATATAAACTCTCCCCCCCCCCAAAAAAGATAAACACACACACACACAGTGTGTGTGAATCATGATGTAATCACTGTCACAAGGAAAATAAATTTATAATGCACACTAGCTCATGACCGCTTTATTTTCTCATGGAAGTGGCGTGTGGAGAACCGTCAGAAATCTGCTGATGCTCTTCCGCATGCTCTTTTCTATGGATGGACTTCGAAAATATTTTCTTGCAACACTGTGCTTCTGCTGTTGCCCATATGGCGGTTGTATTGCGGAGAAATCTCTCAACCGTGGTGGAAAGATTCTTGGCTGGAAATATTCGTCCCAGTTTCGTGCTGGAGGCACTGATGAGCACATCTACAGTTTATGTGATGTGGAATGTGTCCATCTTTTCCATCAAGATTAATATTGTAACAATACATTATACAGTGAAGTCCCGTTTCAAAGAACTTTCATCTGAGGGACCCTGAAAAAAATGTGCTGCAAAGAAAGAATTGACGATTATAGGTCCAGGAAGAAAAGCCATACCAGCAACATTTTGCTGAAATGAAGCAATTTCAAGATTAAATGAAATATTTGGTGAGTTATTCCTACTATTTTTCTTGAAATTATCAATTTTAAAAACATTTTATGCTTGCTGTGCTGGACGGGAAACGAAGATGTATTTTTTAGAAATCCGTCACTGAGGTTGGAATTCGCGTGAGTAAGGTAAACGCTGTACACGCAGATTATTTTTAATACAGTACATTCTTTTTGACGATAAGACAAGTATTAGTGCCCTTCAACTCGAATGTATTTTTGATGAATACTGTTTATTGAAGTTCACTTGTACAAAAATGCGTCGAGTTTCATAAACGTTCGACTGAGTGCGTCATCTATATACCTTTTTAGATAATATCTGAGCATTGCTTAAATCTGGTAACGCTCGTGCTGTTCACGGTTTCCAACGCTAGCTTTCGTTCATTTATTGTTACTTCTTGCCCCTCAAAACGGCCGAATCAAGTCAAATTTCATTTAAATATTTCTTTAAATGTACACGCATCGAATTGCGAACATTTCAAGAACAGTTTTATCGATCATATTGCACTACTGTACTGAGACGATACAGTAACAGGAAAGTGAGCAGCAGTTGGTAACGCTGATTCTCGCGCGGTCGCTGGTTGACTGACGACATCCTTCTCTCATTCTTGCCAGTCGCGCGCAGTTCACAGGTGAGAGAAGGGAAGAAAATTGGAGTGCGGTGGTGCATTGGAAGTGTGGTATGTGATCTAAAGAGAAAACAATGGAATTGTCTTGTCCTAGATTGACGCTTTTCAACACTTCCTGTTGATTTTGCGACACTAATATGAAAACGGGCTGAATTTACGAGGCACTGTGTCATTATCACCTGTGTGGATCCAAACCTGGCTCGACGTATCAAGCTTCAAATTAAAATATGTTCTAAGCCGGAGTGATTTTCGCAGTGTTACATTATAACTATGTTGTAAACCCCCAATGCTTCATTTCTTTTTAATACGCAAGTGTTGATACGGGAGAGGCAAAAATTCAACAAGGGACGAGTGGACCGTATGCAAGAGTGACATCTGTGAGTCGTTATTAATATCAATTTTAGATCAGATTCGCCTCGAAAACTATCGATCACCCCTTTCCGAAGAATAGGTTTGTTGATGGTTGATCGCGCAATTGAATTGGGAAGCTCATAGAGAATTCAAAAGGCAGTGAAGCATTCGTCACTCCTGAATCGTTAAATCATTTCTGATTTTCTCTGATTGGATCCAGAGGAGTGCGGTTTCAATAGTCATCGCAACAATGCGACTAATAGTTCTTTTTATTGTTCATAGATGTCGTTTGTGCATATTGTGATGGCGGCGCCCATGGTACACATGCTTCATCCTCAGATTTTCGTAGTGAATGTGCGACGACTGTGCTCAGCTTTTATCACGGTGGTTGTCGTTTCGGCGCATGTCCGGTGAACGGAAGGTGGAGCTCGTTGTCGTTGGTTAGTGACTTGTGTGTTCTTCGTTTCAGTGCGACGCGCGGTTCTGTCGCGTGCTGTTCTGTGCTCAGTTTCCGCGTTGCGTTTTCAGAAATGAATCTATTCGTTCATTTAATCCTTGGTTTGCTTCGCTTCCGGGTTGTGTTAACTGATATCTTCACGTTTCAGTGTCCGTGAAGCCTGTGGGTGAAGAATGTGTGAACGTGCTTCAGTGCTAGTCTAATATCTTGTGGATCAAGGTTTTTCAACCTGTGTTACGCGAGTGGGGTTGGCCTTAGATTAACTGTTGCTAGTTTATAAATACCGTAAGTTATCATGTACAAATTGTTGGAAACGCCACCAGCAATGTAAATACACTTGAGTTAAGGACAGCGAGCCAAATATTTATAGAGCTTTGCCGAATAGGAGTAGGCTATGTATCTTTAGTCCATCGGCGGAAACTTCCCTGTCCTTAATACGTTAAATCGGTTGTTCGAAGATGTTTACGTGTAGACGAAGTTGAAGAAAAGAGAATTTGTTCCTGATTGTGCTTTATCCTATGTAACCATTTGTGGTCTGAAAAACGTCCGAATTTCTTTGTCTGCGAAATCGGAAAATGTTCCAAGGTTTCATTTATAATAAGATAAATCCCTTGACCTTGTCGTTGAGGAATGTGTGAACGCGTGTTTGTCTGGCATCCGTGTAGAAGCAACTTGCTCGTTTCGTTCCTTATTCTATTCCATACCATAAGCTGAAGCGGTGATCGAAAATAGTCTTTGCTTCCCTGTTGTGTGACCTGAAATCATCACGTTTGTTAAGCTTTGAGTGGCGAAATGAGTTTCCTCTGCTTTTGGAAAGCGTACGTAACTGAGGAATGTGTCGACGTAGTTCTCTGTTTCTTTCTCCTGCCATCCTTGTATAAAGTGCTTCTGCTGTTTCCTTTTGAGTTCCTTGTCGTAATTGAGCATTATCTCGATAGTGTCTGGAAATCCATGGTTTGTTTCCTCTTTTGTTAGCTGGAATCTTGCGTAAATCTTTGGATACGATTATTGGTTTCTCGGGCTATTGAAACATCTAAACTTAGCATTAGGCAAAAGGGCTTAATGATATTCCTCTGGCTCCCTTGTGGGTGATTCTCATTCTGTTTTGTTCCGTACTGTATTTCCATACTGCGAAGGCAAGCGAGTTCACAGTGTCCGAACTCTTCGCGTTCGTGTTGTGTGTCATGGTTGTGTTCACCGAGAAACTTGCGTTTCTCAAGTTTCTTGAGCTTGTAGTTGTAGAATGTAAGATCGTGTGAATGTGGCTGTGCATCATTGTAGATGTGTGTTGTTCCGTTTCGCTAGCTTTAATGATGTAGTAATTTTCGAGACCTTAAAGTGCGTGCGTTGCATTTTTCGCGATTTTTATTCGCGCAGTGCTTGGAAGATAACAGAGAAGACAAGACATTCTCTCTTTCGTAGCTACATTTTCACCAATTTAATCGTCTTGCGTGATTAGTTTTATCATTGCGCAATGAAGTGATGCTTTGTGCTCTCTCGACCATGCGCTGAGTGTTTTTGCGGTGTAGTTACAGTTGAACTTCAAGGGAACAGCGAAAACAGTTGGATATCGGGAGCTCTTGTTTTAGGAAAACAAGTGCTTATTTGTTGGGAGAAAGAAAGAACGAAAGGCAGTAAATTGTAAATGGTGATATTCTGGACCGTAAATTGCTTTTTAATTGAGATGACGGGATGCTGAACTTGAGGGCCAGGTTTCATTTTCCCAATTAATCTTTTACTTATTCTCGAAGTGCATCTAGGTACCTTCTTTGTAGCTTTTCTTATTTCTGTGTTAATTACATAATAGGCAAGAAGGCCTCCAGAAAATTCGATTTATGAAGGTTTGAGAGCTGAATCCTTCGAGTTGAGGAGGTTTTTAAGCATTTTTTTATAAGGGAATTCAGACAAGGACTTGTACAAAGTTCGTCTTGTGGATTTATTTGACCTAGGTTCAACCGTGTTAGGTTGTCCCCGAGTTTTTAAGGTTATTCAGGATTTGATCATTTAAGTTTACCCATGAGCGCTTCAAGTCAGATTATTGAGGATATTGTAACGAGGTGAGGTTAATTATATATTGACTGCGTGAATTTGGGTTGTTAACATTTTCGCTGAGTCAAGATCAGGTTAATTCAAATCATGGGGTTCATACAATGCAGTTCTGATTATTGAAAAGGTTGACTTGAAGAAAAAGAAAATGGGCTTCTGGAGGTTCGAGTTATTGAGGTTCAACGGTGTTCACTGCAATCGATGAAAAAATGAGTGTTTCATGGTTTTTTTTCACCCAACTCCCTCTAGAAATATTTGTTTGAATCACTCACTCGAGAAATATCTCGAAGAAAAACAAATAGTGAAAAAGTGCGGAATGAAGTGTGGTTGGGTGCCGTGACACATGCTGCGGAAGGCTGTGATGGCTGGTCGACCCACTGATCAGTCCGTGTACGCAGTGTCGGGATTGTATGATGCGGCTTCGGACACACCGATGTCCGGGACACCGGAACCGGATCCCACGATCGCAGAATTGCTGGGCAACAGGCAGAAAGAATTTGCACAACGTCGCGAATGGCGCAAAGGGCATCAGAGGAGCTTCTCCTACGACTTTAATTTGTCCCGTCGGGATCCGTCTTGGCGCAAAGGGCACGAAAGGTATAGTAGCAGCTTCATGATGGTTTCTATATAACGTATATACAGTGGAATTTCTCCAAGTCGAATTTTAAGGGACCAGCAGAAAAAAAAAATTGACTTGGGGAGGTTTTGATTTATGGAAGAATTCAAGCATTTTTTTTGTGGGGGAAAAATGAAAAAAAATTGCAGGAAATTGTAAATGGGGATATTCTGGGCCTTAACTTGCTTTCTGCCCAAGTTTACACCATGCTGAATTTGGAGGCAGGGGTTCATTTGCTCCATGAGTCTTACAATTGCTTTCAAGACACGTCAAGTTACTTTTTGTTTTTTTTGCTTTTCTCTTTCCTGGGTCAGGAAAATAAGAGTCCTTGGAAAATTCAACTTGGGGAGGTTTGAGAGAAAAAGACTGAATTAGAGAGGTTTTTAATGAATTGTTTTTGAGGGAAGTCAGACTTGGACTTGAAAAAAAAAATTAGAATGTCACAAGATTTCATTTTTATTGAAGTCAATTTTTTGACACTCGCTCAGTTGTTTTGAAGATAGTTTCTGAGCAATTTCTCTCTCCGGCATTTTCCTCTAACCGAGAATTTCTCCCGACACCCTCGTAATTTTTGCATTCAAATCTGAAAGTACAATAATTTCTAAGAAAAAAAAAAAGAAATTGCGTCTTCGATATAAATTGTGTGTGAGAGTGTGTGAAACATTTTCTCCCATGATTTTATGCGCAGACAAGCCTCGAATGACTTCCAATACGGACAACGAAGGGACCTGGTTCGTGACTGGAAGCGAGGTCACGAGCGCCACGGATCCAACATATCGCGCAAATCCCTGGTCGCGATTGCCACTTACAACAACGCTGTTCGGGTGGCTGCAGAAACCCAGCCGACCCCTCCCGTGACCCCGCTGGGAACCAACTATGGCCAAGAATGTGGACTGGGCTCGTGTCGTCCCTCTTTTCTCCAAAGATTTGCCAATATTAAGGTGGGTTCTTTGTTTCTTCTCTTCGTTTTTGTTGTTATGAATTTCATCAACTCTCTGAAGTATGTGTTGTGTTTGCGTAATTATAATTGAAAAAAAAATGAGATTATTACTGTACAACGCAAAAAATGAGGTTTGGCTCAAAAAAGCTAGAATGACATCCTGGGGATTTTTAGAAATTTAAAGGTAAGAGAAAAGAGTGGCTTAATTTTGCATCTTATAATCACAATTTATGATGTAGTGAAAATTAATTTACAAAGAGCTCAAACTTCTCAGAAATTACTGGAATTTCGATATTTCGTACCAAATACTCTAATTTGAATTTCAGTATTTATGCTTGAAAAAACGAAACAAGTCTATGGTCTGTTGATGAGTTTCTGGAACAATTGAATCAATCCCCATGTAATAAAAAAGGAAAATTTGAGTTTCGCCTCACAAATTATGCATTTTATGCATTTCTTCATGAGAAAACGCCTCCAAGGAATGGAAAATGGTTTTGTCATTAGGGAACTCAACGTATGCATAATTTTTTTTGGTCTTGTGAGTTCTGTATAGAGAAATGCTCTCTACAACGAATTAGTCTTATCCTTTTTTCCCTCGCATATGGACTACCCCTGAATTTCGTTGTAGAGAAAAAGGTATTTCATTTTCCAAGCAGAAAGCTGGTCTTCAGATTCTTTGATGCTAAGGCTGAAAATTATTGTAAAATCCGTTGGGAATTGGATGGAAATTGTAATTGACAGCATTATTGACGTGAAAAAAACGCAATAAATACGCAAGATTGATTGTCTCGGTTTCAGTACGTGAATTAATCGATTTCTGGAAAAATTTTCGTTCGCTTTCTCCAAGCTTTTTTTTCTGAAGTTTAAAATGAGAATTGTTTCAAAAATTTTCAATGCGACTTGGAAATCTCATTTTGTGATACAGTATTTTATAACTTGTAGAGCTATTTTAGAAAATCTTTGCACCTACTTTAAGGTGAAATTAATCTTGTGAGACTTGATTTCTCTTGAGTGCACGCCGAAGATATTCGAACATTTGGACCGTTGGGTTGCCAAATATTGTACTGTATTCGATTGGAATGGAAATGGACTCGTAGTTTCTAACATGACTTCCTGAAGTCGTGAAGAAACTGGTTTTTCTCTCGGGCCCACCTTGTCTCGATTTTTTTTCTGATCAATATCAAACCAGTTTTCTTAGAAGTGACACGATCATTTGTGCGTTCATTCATTCCTTCCTTGAGAATTTTTTCTGTGGTCGTCACAACTGGCGGATTTTATTGTTCAAAGATTAGAATTTGGATTTTGTAATGCGTTGTGCGGTGAGACCCCGAAATACGGACGGTTTGACACTTTTAAATGTTGAAAAAGTAGACCCGACATCCGGGCAAAATGTCGACGTACGGACAATTTTCCAATAATTCTGGGGAAATTTTAATTTTTAAAAATTGTGATGCCTCTTATTAAGCTATTTATATCAATAAAAGTCAAAAATGAATCTTATTAAAAGTCAAAAATTAATCTTATTATAAGTCAAAAAATGAATCTTATTAAAAGTAAAAAATGAATCTTATTAAAAATCACTCGAATTTTTAATCAAAAAGGTCAATTTGGTAATTCTTTTTTTTAGTATTCATCATCTGTGCACAGTGTAGCAATACAGTATTTGTTTTGTACTTTTTATTTGCTTTTTGGGTCACTTTTGATGCCAGAAGATCAGATTCTGTGTTTTTTTTCTTCTGCACAGTTACATTCTGTATATTTTAGTTGAAGAAAAAAACATTTCATTAGATTATGTGGTGGATTCATTTCTAATTTTTGATGAACCGGAGAATTAAGTAAATGAGTTTCCATTGGAGTCTATGGGAAAACGAGATCCGACATGCGGACGAGGTCCCGACGCAAATTTCGTCCGCATCTTGGGGTCTCACTGCATACTGTAGTTTTACAATCCTGACCAAAATTATTTCTTTTGGTTATCAGTCGGAATTTGAGAAGGTAATTTAAGAACGAAATTGAAATAATCCCCCGGGTTTCCAGTGGTGGGCTTGAGAGAGAGCGAGAGAGAAAGGGCGTGTCTGTGTCTGGAAAGACCTTGTGTTTTGTAGTACAGTACAGTACACTACTGTACCGTGGCCTCGGAGCATGCGACGAATCCCTGCTTGATTTGATTATGGATTGTTTTTTTTTTTTTGGAAAAAAAGGAAATGAGGAATAATTATTGATGACTCATTGCAGATTTTTGTGTTCCTGTTGTCTCTGGTGGTGACGCTGCAACAAGCCGTGTCGTCGGGTTACCTCAACTCAGTGATTACAACGATCGAGAAGCGGTTTGAGATCCCGAGCAGTTTGTCCGGCCTCATCGCTTCCATGTACGAATTCGGGAATCTCATCACCATCATCTTCGTCTCTTACCTGGGGTCTCGTCGACACATTCCTGTTTGGATTGGAATCGGTGAGTTTCCCCCCACTTCTGGTTTTATTTTTTTATATTTATTTTTTTACATTATTGTCAAACTTGGAGGGACGAGCAAAAAGAGGAAAAAGCGAGTTTGGGAGGTTTCGAGTCTGGGAAACGAGTACAGAATTTATTTATTTTTTGCACACTGAAAATAAAATTCGAGTTTAGGAAACAAGTATTTTTGTTTTCGAGGGACCAGCAAAAGAAATTCGAGTTAGGGAAATTTCGATTCCGCGCAGACGATTATTTTTGTTTTTGAGGGACCAGCACAAACAAAATTCAAGTTTGGGAGGCCTCGAGTCCGAGAGACGAGTATTTTTGTTTCCGGGGAATTCAAGCATTTTTGTTTTTGAAGGCCAGCAAAAAATCCGAGTTTTGGAGTTTTCGATTCAGTAGAGACGAGTATTTTTGTTTTCGAGGAACCAGCAAAAAAATTTGAGTTTGGGAATTCAAGTATTTTTGTTTTTGAGGGCTCAGCAAAAAAAAAATTATAAAGCTCGCTAAGGAGACGAGTATTTTTGTTTCTGAGGGACCAGCAAAAAAAGTGAATCGCGTTTGGGAGTTTTCGAGTGAGAGAAATGATTATTTTTGTTGAGGAAAATGATTGAAGAAGAATTGCAGAAAATAGAAATTGGCGATGTTCTGAGTCTAGAATTGTTTTTTGAATGAGTCGACAGGATGCTGAACCTGGAGGCGAGGATTCATTTGTCTTTCAATTTCTTTCAAAACACATCGAGTTGCATTTGTTTTAATTTTTTTCTTTCCTGTCTTGATAAAAATAATAGGCAAAAGATATTCCTGAAAATTTGACATCGAGTACTTTTCTAGATACTTTTGACTTGAGATGTTCTTTATTTTTTGAATTCAAACAAAATTTAACGCCGATTAGGTTAACCCATCCATTGAGTTCATATAACAGTACTGTATTATGGAAAAAGCTTCGATTTTATCATTTTAACTGTTTCAGAAATGGGATCTCAAGGCGTTTTAGAGATAAAACCTTTTTGAAAAGTCTCTTCATGGTTTCCTCCTCGTCCACCTTGTGAACATTTAACCTTCATTATCTGGGTCGATGAACAGTCAGACGCCTTCTTTCGTATAATGGAAAATCCGGTTTTGGAGAGAGCTCATGAAACCTGATATTTTCAGTCGAGATTTATTGTTCTCAATTTATGAATATTTTATTATTATTAAAGTATTATTGTTCATGCATTTCGAAATACTGTGCGTGTTTAAAATTTTCTTCTTCGGGTGTGAAACTTTCTGAGAAAGTCTTCTTACATTTTGCTGAAGATTAATTCAAATTGCATCCCCGACGTGGGCAACTTTTTATTCTCAAAGTGACGTGTTGAAAATCATCGACGTCAAGCATGAGAAACGAAATTTGACAAGATTAGAAAACGTTCGTTTTCGAGCATTGCTTCCAGTTGTGCGGAATTGTCCTGAAATGTTGTGCAATATTTTCGAAATGTGATTAAACTCCTGAGAAAGTTGGAGTGCTTTCAAATTTTTTTAAAATTTGACAGATGAATATTACTTTTCCGTAGTGATGCGAAGCTGATCCAATTATCTTATATTCTCTGTATTTTAACCTGAGTGATGAAAAATTGGAACCTTGATGAAGAATCGATGAAAGATAATATTTCAATTTTCCACGCAAATCCTCAAGTTCTAACGAAACTCACAAATCAATTTCTCGAGTACGTAAATGTAAAAAAAAAATACTTGCAAGTAAGCCTTGTTATCAATCGGCTCGAGTGAGGAACGTTTCTGTGCAAATTTCTACGTCGCAGTGTGAAAGTACTTGACGTATTTGTGCAGTACTGTTTTTTTTGTGCGCAGTTTTCGAGGCCGTGAAGAATTAGTAAATGCGTAGTTGTGCAAAAATTCCCCGTGGTTGACCTTTTTTTTTCTCGAGACCGTCAATCTTGCTGAAAACAAACTGCTTTCTTTGAATTTCGCAAGAAAAGCATGTTGCAATATTCGGATTCTTGAAAAAGTATTTGTTTGGCAATTTAGTTATAAATCCTGTTAGTTTGTTTCCCATTCGATGAGGCGTGAAACGAATTTTTATTTACAAAACGTGAAAAATTACGAACCCTGCCAAGCTTTAAATGAGTGACGTTTTGCATTAAATTTTGTTGAGCTGCTATAAAATTTTCAAGGCGAAAAAAATTTGCCATGATTTCCATTATAATTACTAATTTTTCATTAATTATTGGAGAAATCGTGCATACATTTATTTTTTGAGGATGAAAGAATTTCTCTGGGGATCGAAGTGAGTTTTATTCTTCAAATTATTCATCCCAAGTTTCATCTGTTTATGGGTTATTTTTGACTTCTCATCAGGAATTGATATGCATAAATTACTTTCAAATGCAGAATAATTTATGAAGTACTGTACTGAATTTTTTTAAAATGATGATTTTCCGCCTCGTGTGATTCTTCTCAAATATTTTCTCAACCACTTCTGAGTGCGTTTTTGAGCAATATTTATTACAGTATATTTTCCTGCTGCGAGCAGACTTTTTTTTTAAACAGCAGACGCTGTAAATTAACTTTTTTTGTGGCATCCTCTGAGAGAATTATTCCGGCATTAGCAAGATGTTTCGCACCTCGTGTTAAATGAAAAGAATGTCAACTTCCTGCGTAACCTGTTTTCACGGGCTCAAAATAGCACCCGTGGGGGAGGAGATGAAAAGAGGTTGGGTGACAAAGTTCCCTGACCTTTCTTCTCGTTTTTTTTTTTTTTAAATTTCGTCGAATCTATGGACCGATGAAAGGAACCGAGTGTGGCTATACTGATATAAAACCCCTGAGGGAGGGGTTTTTTTTTTCTTCTCGCTCTGACGTTCGCTGACTATTGGGATAATGAAAATGAACGCCTCCTTGGATCCTCCCATTATTCAAGGCGTTTTTTTTTTTCAAAAATTCTGGCACTTTTTTTGTGAAATCACCGCGAGGAGGCGAAACGCTTTTTGTACTTGGAAAAGTCTTTTCTTATTTATTAATTCATTTTTGAACTAAACGCCCGAATCGGAGAAGGAAATAAGTACTGTAATCATTGTATTCAGATGTTGAATGCAATTTTTTTCCAGATGTATAATAACCTGTCTCTTTTGGTGATTCAAATAAAATCGGAACACGAGTTGTCGGGAAATTGACGCAGCGGGAAATTTGTGATTCAAACTGTTGTAAAATACAGTTTTTAATGCGTTTATTAAAGCAGGAAAATTCTGCTTTGATTGATTTTCTTCAACTAAACGCTGGGTTCCGAAATAGCAAATTAAGTACTGTATATGTAATAATTAGTCCCCGGAATCGTCTTCAGATAATTAAAAGGATATTACATGGGACAGGTTGACTAATGATTTATATGACAATTTTTACGCTTTTTCTCGACGTGTTCCACTAAAAACTTCTCTTCCAAAAACATAACTTTGAAAATGCCATTTTGTTACTGACAGATGAATTAGTCTTGGCTTCCATTCCTTCGAAAAAATATTCAATTGTGAAGAAACTGATCCAAAACCAACGAGTGGTAAACTAAATAACTTGGTGCTTCGAAAGAGTACTTGAAAGCAACGTTTCCTGTTCAATTGGAGTGAAAGGGGTCATTTAAAATGCTCGAACAATGTCGTGAATGGTTACTTGAAAAATTACTCATCAGCAGTAAAGAAGTATGTCCTATAAAAATTTAGTAGATTAAAAAATTAATCTAAAAAACCACGTTTTCAAAAAGCAAAAAATAACCTTAAA